TGCCGCAATATGATGTTTAGAGTTTCATTCCGATGTTAAATGGAAACAAAAACTTTAATAAGGACTCTTTCGGCAATGAGAAAAGACTAAGGGTAATTATCGTCCAGGGGAGATTATTTCCTTCCAAATTTAGACGGGAGCTTTCCAAAATCAATACTATCATGTAAAGAAAACCAGACAAGGAACAACTTTGACCGCCTCTTTCGGTTCAATTCATGGCCTCCATCTCCTCCTCCCCCAATTTTAGCTGCCAAACCCTAATTTTGAACTCTCTAACTGCATGGCCGTTTAGGGTTGAGCTACCATGCTTCTTCCCTTTCACATTTCCTTCTTCCCTCTTTCTCTCTCTCTCTCTCTCTCTCTCATGGACTTCGCATCACGTTTTCATCCCGTATTATGAGAATTTTGTTTGAAGAAATTTCGTTTAATTTGGGGATTCTGCTAATTTGGAGATGGAGTGGAATATAAGGTTTTGGGCCTTGTTATATGGGATTGTGTTCTCTTTGATTGTCTGTATTCATGGAGGTACAGATGCACCAGATGGTAAGCACTGAGATTTTCAGCATTAATGTCTATGACTAATGTGAATTTTTTTTTTTTAAATTTTTTGGGTGATTGATTTGATAATCATAATTAATTTGCCGAATTAAGCAGTATTTTAGTACCAACATTTCTTTTGTATCGAGTGCTCTCTCTCTCTCTCTCTCTCTCTCTCTCTTAGCATTTATTGTGATCCCTCTCTTTCTAACTAGCATTTCCTGTGATTGGTCTTTCTCTCTCTAACCAGCATTTCTTGTGATTGTAGTTTTTTTTTTTTCTTCTCTCTCTCTCTCTCTTTTATTGCTTCGAGTGTTTAAAGGTTAAGGAGAAATTGCTGGTATTGTTTGTGTGGTATAAAATATTTCATTTTTAATCACTTTTCTCATGTAATAAATAGGAATTCTGGCAATTTTTAAGAATTCTCATGTAAAAAGAAATAACTAAGGGCATCATGACATCTGCAAAAAAAGATATTCCAATTTTAAATGTAATATACCTGAACGTTCCTTATCTCAACGGAGAAAAAAAAAAAAACAAAAAATAAAAGAAAAAAACATTGTTCCTTAGAAATTGTGTTCTTGATTTAATCGAAATTGAAGTTCCAATACATACACTTGATGTTATGAAACTAATCATTTATCAGGCGGGATATTTTGTGGTATTTCCTTTATGCAATCTTTGAGGTTAATATCACAAATAAACTCTCTTATCTTTTTGGGTTTTAATATATGTATCACTCTATAAAATCCACCTGATTTTCTTGGGTTCCTGTTATTATCTTATCCACTAATTATTGGCAAGCTTTATGTTTTCATGAAATCAATTTTTTTAATGAGATGTTTCCTCCATTTTGCTTTGTATTTGTTGTAAAATTTGGAATGTTTTGCTCTCCAAGTGGAAGTTTAGGGCAATTTTGGTCATTTCCCACTTGATATCATTCAATATTTTATAGAAAACGTGTATTTATTTACTGAAAATACTGGCGTAGGCTTACTAGCCTATAACTACATATAGGCCCAACGGCCTAGATTGAGTCTGGGCCGATCTGATGGACTTGACCTCATTTCGTATTAGAATTAAATTTTTTGTTCTACACATCTAAATCATGTAAAAATCTAGGTGTTTATTCTTATCATCAACATGCAACTAATAAAAATATTAAAAAAATAATTCGTAAAATATAAATTGACCAAAATATTTTTGCAATATTTCGGGAGTATTTTTAGTCAATTTATTTTTCACGAAATATTGTTTGATATTTTTATTGGATTCTAATATTTTTTTAAAAATACACTCCCAAAAATTCAAAATTACGCCCAAAATTTGCAAAATTACGCCCCTCGAAAAACTGCACCCCTCTAAAACCTCCCCATCCACACCAAAGTGATCAGGATTGCAGGTGCCGCAATATGATGTTAAGAGTTTCATTCCGATGTTATATAGAAATAAAAACTTGAATAAGGACTCTTTGGGCAATGAGTAAAGACTAAGGGTAATTATCGTCCAGGGGAGACTATTTCCTTCCAAATTTAGACGGGAGCTTTCCAAAATCTAAACTATCACGTAAAGAAAACCAGACAAGGAACAGCTTTAGCCACTCTTCTCTTGCTTCACTTCATGGTCTCCATCTCCTTCTCCCCCAATTTTAGCGGTCAAACCCTAATTTTGAACTCTCTGACTGCGTGGCCATTTAGGGTTGAACTACCATGCTTCTTCCCTTTCACATTTCCTTCTTCCCTCTTTCTCTCTCTCTCTCTCTCTCTCTCTCATGGGCTTCGCATCACGTTTTCATCCTGTATTATGAGAATTTTCTTTGAAGAAACTTCGTTTCATTTGGGGATTCTGCTAATTTGGAGATGGAGTGGAATATAAGGTTTTGGGCCTTGTTATATGGGATCGTGTTCCCTTTGATTGTCTGTGTTCATGGAGGTACAGATGCACCAAATGGTAAGCATTGGGATTTTCAGCATTAAGATCTTTGACTAATGTGAATTTTTTTTTTTTTAAAATTTTTTTGGGTGATTGATTTGATAATCATAATTAATTTGCCGAATTAAGCTGTATTTTACTACCAGCATTTCTTTTGATCGAGCGTTCTCTCTGTCTCTCTTAGCATTGATTGTGATCCTTCTCTCTCTAACTAGCATTTCTTGTGATTGGTCTTTCTCTCTCGAACCAGTATTTCTTGTGATTGAGTTCTCTCTCTCTCTCTCTCTTATTGCTTTGAGTGTTTAAAAGCTATGGAGAAATTGCTGGTATTGTTTGTGTGGTATAATATATTTCATTTTTAATCACTTTTCTCATGGAATAAATAGGAATTCTGGCCATTTTGAAGAATTCTCATGTAAAAAGAAATAGCTAAGGGCATCATGACATCTACAAAAAAAGATATTCCAATTTTAAATGTAATATACCTGAACGTTCCTTATCTCAAAGGAGAAAAAAAAGCAAAAAACAAAAAAGAAAAGAAAAAAACATTGGTCCTTCGAAATTGTGTTCTTGATTTAATGGAAATTGAAGTTCCAATACATACACTTGATGTTATGAAACTAATCATTCATCAGGCGTGATATTTTGTGGTATTTTCTTTATGCAATCTTTGAGGTTAATATCACAAATAAACTCTCTTATCTTTTTGGGTTTTAATATATGTATCACTCTATAGAATCCACCTGATTTTCTTGGGTTCCTGTGATTATCTTATCCACTAATTGTTGGCAAGCTTTATGTTTTCATGAAATCAATTTTTTAATGAGATGTTTCCTCCATTTTGATTTATATTTGTTGTAAAATTTGGAATGTTCTGCTATCTAAGTGGAAGTTTTAGGCAATTTTGGTCATTTCCCACTTGATATCATTCAGTATTTTATAGAACACATGTATTTATTTACAGAAAATACTGGCGTAGGCTTACTAACCTATAACTACATATAGGCTCAACGGCTTAGATTGAATCTGGGCCGATCTGATGAACACGACCTCATTTCGTATTTGAATTAAATTATTTTTTTCTACAAATCCAAATCATGTGAAAATTTAGGTGTTTATTCTTATTATCAACACACACCTAATAAAAATATTAAAAAAATAATTCGTAAAATATAAATTGACCAAAATACTTCTGCAATATTCGGGAGTATTTTGGTCAATTTATTTTTCACGAAATTGTTTTTTTGATATTTTTATTGGATTCTAATATTGTTTAAAAAGTACACGCCCAAAATTTCAGGTGATTTGGATTTATATAAAAAAAATTGAAATTCAAATACAAAATGCAATTGTGATCATGGGATCGGCCCATATTCAATCTAATACCGTTGGGCCTATACGTTGCTAGTGGCTTGTGTCAACATTTCCCTTTATTTATTTATTATTATTGTTTTTGTATTCTATCATGTAAAAAGCTTTATTTAAGATTACAACATTACTCTTTTCTGTTTACTGTGCAGTGTCTGCCCTTAATGTCATGTTTACCAGCTTGAATTCTCCACCTCAGTTAACTGGTTGGACTTCGAGTGGAGGTGATCCCTGTG